TCTTCTCAGAATGATGATATAATACTGAGGGCATTTCTCAGCTAAAAGGATTGGGTCAGTTACATAAAACAGTAAATTTTACACTAATGAACAGAGAAGTATGATGGTTTTAAATGCCTGATCAAAGATTACCCTTTTATCTTTACTAGAACGATCACATGCTTCTTAGCATGGGTTTTGCACATACAGTTCTCTCTATATCTAGGGATACTTTCTGAATCTATAAATATTCCTACAAATATCATTGAGCTTTGGTGCATGATTTCTACGGTTCTCTGTAATCTGCGGTTCTCAAGACCAAGAGCTTATCACTGCTACCTTAAGGGCATGCAGTAGAGGTTACCAGTAGGGCAGGAAGTTGGGGGGCAGAGAGATGTCTGAGCTCTTGGCACTCTTCTAACAGGGACCGCTACTGGTGTTGGAAGATGCAGGGAAAAGAAGAGAAATGAGAAACCCGGCCAAGAGTGAGCTGGGGATGGTCAAAGCAGCATGCTTGTGGTAAGGAGCCCTGCTGAGAATGCTCCAAGGGACAAATTGGACTCACAACTCCCATAATCATACCAGTGTCTGAGGCCCATTAAGTGCAAACCCTGATATATTCATTTCACAAAACTCCAGGTGCCTACGTATCTTAGCCCTCTAGTCCTCCATCGTTCTTCCATTGATAAGATGGAAAACAAGTTGGAGGAAATAATTATACTGTATGTCCTGTCAGGGGGGATGGGAAGGGTCCTGTTGCAGGAGGTACTATGGAAGGAAGGTGCTCTGAAACCCCAATTGTGGGCCTTGGCCTCCCTACACACCTAGGCCAATTGTGTAAGTACTAATACGCAGCTTCCTCGGCTGATAGCTGCCCTGGTGAGATAACTGGGGGAGTGAATGCCTGTAGGTGTCTCCCTGAATATTTCTCCTCTGAGGTGTCCAGCACCAAGGACAGGGGTGGACAACGGGCATCATCAGTGAGTGAGGCAGAATTGGCAAGGAAGAAGGCTTCTGCCTGGGAAGTTAGTGAACTGAGAGTGTGGTTATTGCTCAATTTGTAGTTCATCTGAAGATCCTAAGGTGCAGTCCTCCAGGTAAAACAAGACTTGTCTTTGGCCACTGATAAAAAACTGGTTTCCTTTCTGCTAAGAACTTGCCCTTATAAATGGAAGCTACCAGGTTGCCCTTTTCCTACCAACTGAATCCACCTGGTAGGAATCAAGCAAAACTGACGTGAGCTTAGGAACCAAGCCTTATTAGCATAGTGCTTCCACCTCCTGGAAAACCAGTCCAGACGACTATTCACATGTTCTATTTTGTAATTCTTCTCAATCTTGTACACTTTTGTTTTATGTACTTTTCCAAATGTTGTATTTCACAAGAAAACAAAGTAAAAATGATCTAAAATATCCAAACTTTGCACATGTAACATAGAAAATTAGTCTGAATGCACCCAACCCAACTGACTGGTAAGATAGGCCTCTTGCATATGGCATGGTCTTGGCTTTTTTTTTTTTTTTCCCATTAAATATACTATCTTAGGAAAGCTCCAGGAATCTGCCCTTATGTCACTATAAAGAAAACTCAGCTTGTTTCCTTCCTATGTAGGGAAAAACCCAGGTCTGCCCTCCTATGTCTTTCTTCCCTGTTTGTGTCCTTTACTACTCACTTAAACCACCTCACTTCTGGTCACTCATGGTGTGGAGGCTTTTCCACACACCAAACAATTCTCCGTAGTACCAGCAGGGGGTCCTATAATTTAACTCAGTTCTGACACGATCTACCCAGAGATAGCATCAGACCCCACAGTTTAAGGGCTCGGTCCCACAAGACTGCCCCCCACCCCACACACACTTCAGATGTGTGTCACAAGCCCAGGCTGTCACCCATGCTGATTAGGTGGCTACAGACCGGAGGGTCCCGTGACCCTCTCCTTCAGTTCAATTTGCAAGTGACTCACAGAATTCAGGAAAACACTGTTGTTCACCAGTTGATTCAATGACATGATCAAAGATCCAGATGGAAGATAAGGAGGGCAAGGTATATGGGAAGGGCCACGGAGCTTCCATGCCCGCTGCAGGCTCTCCATTCTCCCAGCACCTGCACATCATTGCCAACCCGGAAGCTCTCCTAACCTCTTGTTTTGGGGATTTTATGGAGGCTTTATCACATGGGCATGAGCCATTAATTCCAGTTTTAGTCCTTTTCTCCTCTCGGTGGGGTGGACTGGAAATGCTAAGCTTCTAATCATGGCTTGGTCTTTCTGGGGACCAGCCCTCACCCAGGAGCCATAGGAAGCCACCCAGAATGCCCTCACTTGAACAAGACAGTCCTCATCCAGGAAGTGACAAGGGTTTCAGGAGTTCGGTGTCAGCACCTGGGGTCAAAGGTTAATATTAGAACAAGAGGTGCTCCTAGTGCTCTTCTCACTTAGGAAATGACAAGGTTTTATGAGCTCTGTGCCAGCAACTGGGGGGCAGAGACCAATACATATTTTCTCTTATAGCCACCATCTTCTATAGATTAAATGAGCTGATCTTAGTTCCAGTCTTGCGGGTCACGTATGAAAAATCTAATTCCCTTTCGGAGTCTTTAAAATCAAAGACCTATCATACTCCAGGGACCTTCTCTAGCCAGCCCCTTTCCAGTCTCCCACACCCAACACACACTTTTCCTCCAAACAACAACCCCCATCTTCCATCTATCCCTCATGAGCATGGTTCCAAGTCTCTTTCAGATCTGAACAACCTCCCTTGAGTACGGTGCCCAGACGGAAACAGACGCCAGGTACGAATAAATTAGAGGACTGTCATTAGCCATCTCTTCCCTTTTGTATTCTCTCTACCACTCGGAAGACTGAAGATACTGCAAAGAACATGGACTTTGAAGCCACAGGACCCAAGTTTTAACAGTGGTCATGAGCTGAAATACTAAGCAAGTTACTCAACATTTCTATGCCCACTTTTGTCATCTATGAAGAGTGTTTTATCTACTCTCCCACAGGTATGCTCTGAGAAAAACAAGCAGTTTGTAGAAGTAAAGCAGACTTTCAGTAAGTGGAACGAACATTAACAGTGCGAGCTAAGCCAAATCTCTTGGCAGTCACATCATACCATTTGTTCTTACTCAACTGTTACTATGTACTGGTCAGGGTTCAGAGAATAGAATCCACTAGTTGAGCAGAAAGAGATTTATTTGAATTTTATTGACTGCAGAAATAATTTATATCATGACCCAGTATACAAACGAACACACAAATATGTAATTCAAACAATGTTCACGATATTTACCCATCTGACGTGGGTTGTCCTCAGCTGTTTCACTATTTAATTTTTAAAAATGCACTCGAGGAGTTGATTTCATGACTCACCAATGAATTGAGACCCACAGCTAGAAAATACTACATTGCAGGTTATAACATGGCCTAAAGATCCACTGGGAGGAGAGAAGAAACAAACTCTAGCCTGTGCTTCCAGGAATTAGGCAGCTGAGGGCCACCAGCTCTGGAAGTACCCCCATCTGTACAGCCCACACTCACGAAATGATGTCCCATGAATCTGACACCAGGACGTCTGACCGGCAAAGCCTTAGTGACACCCGAAGCCCTTGTGCAAAGGGGTCTGGGCATACAGCACAGGAAAGCATGCCTGGAAAGCTGCAGACAAGGCCCATCAAGCTAACGCACGAACTCAGCCCCCGCACCTGCAAGGGCATGCTGCTCACACAGAGTAACTCAAAAGTACCTGGGATGGACAAACCCAGTGGCCTCAACACACATCATTACGTACTTTATCCCTATTAAATTGCCTATGGCCTATTATCGCTACTTTAGTGAGGGAAACTCACACAACTTGTACAATTTATTCGATGGAATGAAATCAGAAGAACCAACCATATGCAAATGCCCAGGTTACAACTCCTTTCACAAACACAGTTCTACCCAGCCAACATGAGGCCCTACTGAAAGGATGAATAAAAGATAACAATAGGGCTGCCCGGGTGGCTCAGTCAGTTAAAAGTCCAACTCTTGATTTTGGCTCAGATCATGATCTCAGGGTCATGAAATTAAGCCTGGTGTTGGCTCCATGCTGAGCATGGAGCCCAATTAAGATTCTCTCTCCCTCTCTCCACCCCCTCCCAAAATAATAGTAATTAAAAAAAATAATCCGAGGATTCTCTTCTTCCCAAATGTCACTAAGAATCTTAAGATCAAAAACTTTTTGGGGGGCACCTGGGTGACTCAGTAAGTTAAGCCTCTGCCTTTTACTCGGGTCATGGTCTCAGGGTCCTGGGATGAAGCCCAGCATCAGGCTCTGTGCTCAGCAGGGAGCCTGCCTCCCCCCGCCTCTCTGCCTACTGATCTCTCTGTCAAACTAATAAATAAAATCTTTTTAAAAACCCAAAATATTATTTTTAAGATTTTATTTATTTGACAGACAGAGAGCACAAGCAGAGAAGTGGCAAGCAGAGGGAGGGGAGAAGCAGGCTTCCCACTGAGCAAGGAGCTCTATGCAAGGCTCCATCTCAGGACCCTGGGATCATGGCCTGATCCAAAGGCAGATGCTTAACCGACTGAGCCACCCAGGAGCCCCGAGATCAAAAACATTTTTGAGAGCAATGAAGAGAAGGTACGAACAAGGAATAACTTCAACTTCTTTTTATTATCTTTTTCGTTCACTTCATACAATAATTTATATCTGTGAAAGAATTCAAATTTGTTGAATGAAAGGCACTGCTTATGATTCACAAAGCAACTAAATAAGTTGAAGAGAAAGCATTTAGTGAATTAAATAATACAGGGTTTTTTGGGTCTGTAATCGATATACATCTGATTAAAAAAATAAACAGTTTGTATTAGGTCACCACACAGATTTATACAATAATCAGATGTGTAAAAACATAAGCATATCAGGTTTTATGGGACCCCGCCCCCAACAGAGGTATCTTTTCCTAATTCCTAAGAGAACCAGTTTTAGAAACTAAAGCTATTACGTTTACAGATGTGCAAAACACCAAAACACTTTAAGCAAAAACTCTTTATTTTTAAGAAAAAGTATGTTTTCTCATTTTCTATTCTTGGCATAACTTAATTCTTTCCAGTGGAACCAAAACCTCCTGAACCCCTTTCAGTGTCATCTAAAACCTGAAAAGACATAAAGGTGGTTGCCAGGTAGTTAATTTCAGTTCTCCTTCAGTTCTCTCTAGCTCCTACCTGTAAGACTTTTATTCTTGCTGTAAGACTTTTATTCTTTCAAAGAGATTACAAAAAGAAAATCCATTTTTTTTAAAGCTCCATAAATAAAATATTGGGAAATTTTCAAAAAAGCTAAGAGAAAAAGAATTTCAGGGTATACTTAAATGATTTATTACCCAAAGTAATGCCATATAATAGCTAAAAAAAATTTTCATGAAATTTTAAAACTAAGCTTTTAATTTTGCTTTAAATAGGACTATTATATGTGCTATTATTTAGTTACAAACAGCATAGGAAACCCTTGAAATTGTATTTTTCCCTTCACTGAAAAGGTGACATCATTTATTCCCTGCTTGGCTTTTATGATACTTACCTGAACTTCCTCTATTTCTGGATAAAAAATCCGTTCACAAATGAGCTGTGCGATCCGATCTCCCTTTTTGACTTGAAAGGAAATAAGAGTTTATTACTAATATTTTATTAATACTTTCTCTAATCTTGCCTGTACAGTGAGAATTAGAGGGAGCATGTGTTATCCAGACACTCAGAATTCAGAAAACTCCCTGCATTTATGTGACTAAATGCATTTAACATACCTTCAAACTTTTCTTTGCCAAAATTAAATAGCACGACACCCACATTTCCTCTATAATCTTCATCTATGACGCCAGCTAAGGAAAAGAAGAGTAACATGAGCGCAGTTTATGCTACCAAAACACTGAGGGTATAGGATTACCTCAAAACCATTCTTATGTAGCTCCGAGATTTTAATCCTCACAAACAAGTAAGTGAATCTTGCTCTGGAACTAGGTAAAGTCTGAAAACTAAGAAATGAGTCTTACTAAAATGCAAATACATAGAATGGCCCTAATTTTCCCACCTGTCACCCTTACAGACGGTGCCATTTCCTATGCTAAACTGGGAGTGTACTTAGAGTCTCAGATGGATCATCCTCACTCCCAAACTCCTGTGCATTTGCTGCACACCTGCTAAAAAGACCAGAAGAAAATTACAACTTGGGCTTTAAAGGCTTTTCCTGGTAGCTGCTTCCCACTAATATCCAGATTGAAATATGATGGAGTCATAAATAAAAATGTCCAATAGCCTGAAGATCTGCAGTGGAATTACTCAGTGCTGACGCTGTTAAGCCTCAGGCCGGCTAATATCAGAACACTCATTTTATAACAAAAATGGAGGTGAATCCTTCCATTCATATTCCACCTCTCTTTTTAATGTGAGCCACCAGCCCTTCTTAGAGCATGAGCTCTCGGAAGACATTTGCACATCAGCCTAGTAATGAGCACACTTTTCCGTAACACCGTGTGTGATCAGGACCTGTTTGAGATTACAAACACAGGGACAACAAATCTTTGCAGGAGAGGACTTGAGCCAGGGCCCTGCCTTGGCCCAGAGAGGTCCATTTACCAGGCTTGTTAGCATTTAACTTTGAGCCAAGAACTTAAAATGTTTCCATAAACAAAAGCACAGATAACACAGGTGTAGCAGGCCTTCCCGTTTCCTCCTTCAACACTGATATAATTCACAACTCAGCGGTTCTTAGACTATTCAGAACTGTGGAACTGTGCAACCATCACCACAAACAGTATGGGGGACCATTTTCATTACCCTGAAACAAAATCCCCTATTAGGAGTCACTTCTCTTCCTCCTCATCCTCCCCACTGCCAATTTCCTTTTATATATGTTCATTCTTTCCCCCCAGTTTATTAAATGGTGGCTAGGACTCATGGGACCCCAATTAAATGTAGCTCCATGTTATAGCTTATGTATTACTAACACCCCACCTCCTAAAAACCAAACACACAAAACTCTTATTAAAGAAAAAAAAAGAAAAGAAAAATAATCAGGAATGCACCTCAATGGGTATCAATGCTGACTGACCAAACTCATAATTATTTGAAGGTCAACTGAAAAAAAAAATTTTTTTTTTTAAAAGAACAAAAGTAAGCATTCCCTTTCAATTTTCTTATAGGAGGGAAAAATCCAGCATGGGGTAAAGTACTCAGAAAAACCAACCTTTTAGATTTCTCCAGTGGATTATGGTAGAAGTTTAAATGAATCCTTGTGCTTTATGAATAACTTACTGGGGATAAATGAAATCAAACTGAGCCTTCTTAAAGGTTCCTGACACAACATTTTTAAGAGTTTGAATTAAAGATAAATAAAATAAGCATTTTAAAAAATTAGTTGTCAAAGAGAGAGCACAGGCAGAGGGAGAAGCAGGCTCCCCGCTGAGCAAGGAGCCCAATCTGGGACCAATCCCCCTGGTATCTTAACTTGAGGGGAAGGCAGCCACCCAGGCGTCCCAAAGATAAGTAATTTTAAACTGTGAGAAGGAGGGGTAGATAAGTAGCAGAAAGGCAGCAGAGCTCATTCATATCATGTCTAGACTGAAGGAAACCGTCTTTTCTTTTCTAGCTGCACAGAAACAAAACCTTGACCAATTCAAAGAATCCTGAAAACTGGCATCTTTCCCCACTGCCACTTGACCATTAAATTAGTCCTTAATGTGTAATTGGTAGAAAGATGGGACCAGCTGTTTTCTGTATTATCTATACACAGAAAGTTCTGGCTGTAGAACAACCTGGATGGGATTCAGTGGAGAAACCCCTGCGGAGAACACGCTATTCCCTGCTGGAACATGTGACCCCAGAAGACCATAGAATCTCAGAGCTGGAGATCTCAAGTGCAGGCAAGTACTCATTTGTCTGGAAGGGGCTCAATGAAGACAATGCAGACGGACTTCTGAACTCTTAGTTTCTACTTTGTAAGAAAAACCTTAGATTACGCAAATACTACACATACATATAAAATAAAATAATGTTGCCCTACCTTCCCTCGGGTAGCCAATGTTACAGTAATAGATTTTACATATTACTTTCTTGTATATTAGTCAGGTGTCAGATGTCCTTGTATTTTAGCGATTTTCAGTCTCATCAAAAAGTTTCCAGAAGGCACTTCCCTGATCAAAGGGTATGTACATTTAAAATTTTAATGGATATTTCTAGATTATCTTGCAAAAAAGGTATAGCAATTCAAACTTCTATCAGCGATATTTAAGAATGCCCAATTCCAAAGTCCTCACCAATACCAAATGATAGCAATCTTTTTTTTTAAAGACTTATTTATTTGAGAGAAAGTACGCATGTGAGTGGGGGGAGGGGTAAGGAGAGAGTAAGAGGGAGAGAGAATCTCAAGCAGACTCTGCTGAGCATGGAGCCAGGAGCCTGACATGGGGCCTGATCTCAATCTGAGCTGAAACCAAAAGTTGGACGCTTAATCAACTGAGCCACCCAGACACCCCCAATTAAAAAAAATTCAAGGGGTGTCTGGGTGGCTTGTGGGTTAAGCCTCTGTCTTCAGCTCAGGTCATGATACCAGGGTCCTGGGATAGAGCGCATCGGGCTCTGCTCAGCGGGGAACCTACTTCTGCCTCCCCTTCTGCCTGCTTCTCTGCCTACTTGTGATCTCTCTCTCTCTCTGTCAAATAGGTAAATAAAATAAAAATCTTAAAAAAAAAATCAATTGAAAAAAAAAAATCGAGGCGCCTGGGTGACTCAGTCGTTAAGCGTCTACCTTCGGCTCAGGTCTTGATCCCAGGGTCCTGGGATTGAGCCCCACATCAGGCTCCCTGCTCAGTGGGAAACCTGCTTCTCTCTCGCTCTCCCACACCCCCTGCTTGTGTTCCCTCACGTCGTGTCTCTCTCTGTCAAATAAATAAATAAAATCTTTTAAAAAATTCAATAAAATCTTAAAAAAAAAAAAAATCCTAAAAAAAATTCTGGCCACTGTGATGAGTGAATAATGGTATCTCATGGCTTTACTTTTCATTTCCCTGATGACTAATGAGGTTAGAATGTTTTTCCTCTGTTATGTTTGTTGCACATTTATATGCCTATTCTTTATTTTATTTATGATTTATTCCCTCATTGCACAATTTCCCTTATCAGTTTGTTTGGGTATTTAAATCTTTTACCTATGATCTGTAAGTATTTATGTTTTTACTATATGGCATCTTCTCCCACACAAAAATGATCCCTTTTGGAAAGACCTTTGCTATGTAGCTATCAGGTAGTCTCATCAAACTCAAATCTAGCATATCCACGAATCGGGTGTCTTGAATTCTGTAAAGCCAGATATCCACCAAGATTTTATGCTTCGCACATAGAGATGTGAAAACCCTTTTAACTAACTAACTAAAAGAAATGAAGCTGTTCAAAGTCAGTTAAAATGTATGGCAGAAAAAAAAATGCATCTTCAATAATACTTTTTTTTTTAGCATGAATGCCAACCATATGAAAAATCCAATTGTTCCAAGTTTATGTATTACTCAGAGGCAATCTGACCTTCAAGAAAAGCCCAAGACATTCTTTTTCTACATAAGGAACATAAGCATCAGGGATATTTCTCTTCATGAGAAAGCAGAAAGTATTTTGAAGTTATCACTGGAAAAATCATACATTGGAACTGGCAGAGTAATTAACTGACTTCAGGCAAAAGTTTTACTGTGCCAAGACTTTGGCATGTCATTTGTTGGAAACCTTCTTTAGTGAAAACTATCCACACCTACCAGATGTGAATTCTGAACAGAATCCTGCATACTCAACTTTTCCCTTTGACGCTTATTTACATCCTGGGATTTCTAACAACATCTCTCTTCTGAAGTAAAAACTGGCCAACTATGATAAACATGTGCCTAAGAGACATTTTTAAGAGACTCTGCGTCCAAGAACACACCACAGTGTGATTTTATGAATAATATCACACCAACCACCAGGCAAACAAACTTTCCGTTTCATTTACATGAATCTTTCAGAAGGTTGTTTTAAACAGAGCAAAAATTAGTTACAAAGTCAGAAAAAAAAAAAAAACCCACAAAAACGTTGCCACATTAAAAAAAAAGTCTATGAATTCTCTATAAGAAATATAACTTATAGGGGCACCTGGGTGGCCCAGTGGGTTAAAGCCTCTGCCTTCGGCTTGGGTCGTGATCCTGGGGTCCTGGGATGAAGCCCCACATCGGGCTCTCTGCTCCACAGAGAGCCTACTTCCTCCTCCCTCTCTCTGCCTGCCTCTCTGCCTACGTGTGATCTATCTGTCAAATAAATAAATTAAAAAAAAAAAAAAAGAGAAATATAACTTACAGGGTCTAATATGTGCCAAGCAGTGTGAGATGTGTTGCATATATTATCACTCAATCCTCCTATCCTTGTGAGGCAGGCACACTAATTTTCATTTCATGGAAGAGCAAACTGAGGCTCAGAAAGTACTAAGTAGACAATGAATGACAAAGCTGGGACCCAAGTCTAGTTGTTACTCCAAAGCCCATGTTCCTTTCACAACCCTTTGAAATTTCCTTAAAAATATATGCGATTTCTTATATTCTGAAGTTATAGTCCTAAATTACCATACTTGATGTTATAAAAGTATTTTTGAAAAGCAAGCATAACTGAGCCCAGGCAATTCTCAAGCCAAGCGTGCTGTTCATCCCTGCTGTGTCAAACCTGGCTCCTCTTCAGTCCCCAAGAAAGGGCCACCTTGGGAATCCTGTCTTGCCCCACAGCACCACCTAGTGACACTAAGGGGAGGCTGAAGGGCAGGCCAGAGACAAGCCCCAGACATGCCTCATTCCTTACTTAATGCCTGCAGCACCAGTTAACGACAAGCTAATTTAGGGTAGCTCCTGGTTGGTGAGAGATGGAGCGAGGGGACACCCAGCATTTAACTGCAGCATAAAGAACAGAGGGACTAGAATCACAGGTGAAGATTCCAGGGTTTATATGTCCGCTTGGGATCATCTCTAAGTCAGTTCTTTATCTGCTAAAAAGTAGCTTTGTGGGGCGCCTGGGGGCTCAGTGAGTTAAAGCCTCTGCCTTCAGCTCAGGTCATGATCCCAGAGTCCTGGAATCGAGCCCCGCATCGGGCTCTCTGCTCAGCAGGGAGCCTGCTTCCCCCTCTCTCTGCCTACTTGTGATCTGTCAAATAAATAAATTAAATTAAATTAAATTAAATTAAAAGTAGCTTTGTAAGTATGGAGGGATTTGGAGAATCTAGCATACCCACGAATTGGAGGGCCAAGATACCTAATTAGGTGAGGCACTCTGCTCACTACGATGGGAATACAAGTCAGGACAAAGGTCAGTACTCCAGAAGAGATGGAACGCAGTATCAGAAAGGTGAGAATTTCCTGATGGTGAGGGTGGTTAGGCAGCGGATAGCACGAGGGCCAAGCAGGGATGGGGCTCTTCACGAAAGGGGCTCTACAATGAAATTGTTGACTTTGGGAGATGTGAGTAAGGTTTTATCATAAGGGAAACAGGAGTCGCTGAGTACTTGCTTGACAAAAAATGTAGATAGGGAAGCATAGTGTTTTCTCTTCTAACCTAGGGAGAGTCACTTTTTGTATTTTGCCAAATGTGGATAGCTCTCTTATACAGGTATGAAAATTCTTACAAGACTGACCTGCATTTTTCTGTAAACTTTTGCTTAAATAATTTAACAGCTTTGCTTAAATAATTTAATTACTTAAGCAAAACATACTTGCTTAAAATAATGACATGAAAGCTTTCCCTACCCTTATAAAACTAACTTTCTTTTAAGGATAGAGTCATTTTTGGACTAAATGCAGATTATCACTAAGCCAGGGCAAAAATCCTATCCATAGGATAATGACTAGTTAGCCTATTAGTAAAATAACATGCATTTCACATCATGATCACTTTAAAATTAGACATAACCAAATAATATCTGAAACTGCATCACAATTGTTTATTATTTCAGAGGTGGAACTTTCTAAAGAGTTAAAAGAACAAAAATCATTTTCTTGTCTTGAATCTGTCATTTGATTACTACCTGTTAAGCAAAGGCAAAGTTAACACAAACACATATTTACAGAATGAAATTGTAAACATATTACCTCCTACATCGATGAAGTGTTTTGCAGCCAAGCCAGAACGGGGAGCTAAAAAACAAAAACAAAAACAAAAAGGAAGTGGGCCCCTTTGCAGGGGGAGATGCAATACTGGATGTAATTTACACAATTTCAGCATGCCACTCTCATCTCCTAAGACATCTACCTCTTCATCTTAACTTTAGCAGATGGTTCTGGACCCAAGAATCTATTTATTATACTGTTTTTTAAAGTAGGAAAGAACAGTGTAGAAAAACTCGACAAAGTTTAATTCAAAGGCAGCTTAAATCACTCCCACACGACTTCAGTCCATTGAGGATTCGCGGTGGCCTGGCAGTGGACCATTGGGGTAGACTGAGAGGTGAGCAACTGGGAACAATCTCGACCAACGCTTTCAAGCAGTCTGCCACAAAGGGCGGACTGCAGCTGGCAGTGAACAGGGCTGAGGAAGAAGACTTTTGTTTTAAGATGGGAGATCTGAACATGATGCATGGGAAGAGGGCAGAGGAGGATAGTGGAGAGAGACAGATATAAACTTAACCAATGAGTAGCAGAGCTTAGCCTAGAAACTGGGAATCTTACTCTTAATTCAAATGCCAAATGACGTGTCTGTATTAACAAACGAACCAGAGTAAGATAAAAGGCCTGGTATCAGTCAGGCACATGGTCAAAAACTAAACCTTAAAAATTCAATTCCCATGCTTTTTATTCTTAAAATGAAAGCATAAACAAGCGAACTTTGTACCTTACATTTGTTGACTTGAGCATCAGGCCTCTCATTAATTATTCCAGCTTCTAGTTTTCTATTCCATAATAACTTAAATCAGGCACTTGTCATTAAATGCTGCTGCTTCCTGCTTTTCCTTTTATTTCAATTCCATCTCCTCATCTCCACCCCCCAAAATACTCTCAGCCAAATGCTACCAAAAGGAGATAAAGAAAGAGCCCATCTCGTTTTTCTTTGAAAGGCAGAAGTATGAGCAGTTCTCACACTCATGGTCACAAGACGGTAGTGGTCTAGCCCCTTCCCACCCACAGTTCCATTTGTTCCTTCACGTTTACTCTGATTATGCAATTTAAGAACATTTTGAACGCTCTCTCCAGTGACAGCGACCGGCTCTTCTTTATCATAGCTCTTCCCACTTTGATGGTACCTGAAGGGTACCGTGACCCCAACATACCCCATGGGAGAACACCCAAAGGGGGAAAGGCTAAATGGTCTGACGGACTTTGAGCGAAGAGAAGCAAAAGTTTTACACTCGGGATAAAAGATGCTGTGTGCCATTAGCCCAACCCTGCCTCTATTTTCTTCTATTACAAACATTAACCATTCTCATCATCATCTTCACGAAGACGTCTAACCTCAAATGCAGTCTGATCCTTGGAGGGGGAGTTCAGTTAAAAACCACCTGTGTTTTCAGTGTCTCAGTGAGGAGTTGAGAGAAAAACTCCGGGGCCAACGTGAGCCTCCTAAGAGCTCAAGGAATCAGAAAAAAGAGAGGGGGAGGGTTGGGGGGTGGTAGGCGTATGTGTGTGTGCAAGAAAGAGATATGTAACTGAAATGTAGTTTTCAAGCAGCTGTATCTGCCATCACAGCTGGCACTTCTTTATTTTAGGACCCATGCCAAACAATATCCCTTCCCTCACTTATACCCTGAATGAAACTAAGATGAAGGAAGAACTAAGATGAAGGAAGAGATCATAAAGGAAGAGCTTGACAAACAGTTACCGTGTCTTAAATCACTTACCTACTCTTCCATAGCACCCAGAAGGAAGAGCTACCTGAATGTCCGTTTTCACAAGGGCCTTCTCCATAGGTGGTAGCGTATAATCATAGGCACTAGGAAAATGAAAGAAAATTACCAGTATTTATTCATAAAATTATATTTCTTTTTTCTTCCTTGTGACTAAATATATAGAATTGCTTTAAATATATTTCATAAAATAATCACAAAATAATTCATGCAATCTTAAATTTCAATAACCCATCTAGGAGTTGAGTACTCTAAATTTCCAATTCAGATTAAAAAAAAAGTTTAGGGGTGCCTGGCTGGCTCAGTCATTGGAGTGTGTAACTCTTCCTTTCCTATTTTTTTTTTTAAAGAGATGGGGAGAGAGAAAGAGAGAGAGAAGCGAGGGCAGAAGTGGGAGAAGGAAAGGGAGAGAATCAACACAGGGCTCAATCTCACAACCCTGAGATCATGAGCTGAGCTGAAATCAAGAGTCAGATGCTTAACCGACTGAGCCACCCAGACGCTCCAAGTATGTGACTCTGGATCTTGTGGTCGTGAGCTGGAGTCCCACATTCGGAGTAGAGATCATTTAAAAATAAAAATTTATGAAGAAGGTAGTGGCAGACCTTTCCTTTTAGTTGATTCTTAAAATGGTGCTACCTTTAGATATAGTCATTCTGGTGAATTTTTTTGGCTTAAGAGGTTATCAACATGTAATCTTGTTCTCCCCAGACAAAATTTCTTGGGAAATTGATGTGCACATTAGCAGGGAGTGGCAGAAAGGCAGACTTTTCAAAGATGCATGCTTCACTAACACGATACAAAGAGGAAGAGAAAGAAAAAACCAAGGGGAGGGGATGTGCAAATATGGTGGCATGGTAAGATCCCGAACTCACCCACTCCCACAGACACACCAAATCTACAGCTACGTATGGATCATTTCCCTCTGAAAAAGAGCCAAGAAAGAAGGACAAATACTCGCTAATAACAGCTAACATTTACTAAGCCCTTACTCTGTGCCAGGTATAGTCCTAAATGCTGTATATAACTCATTTTATTCTCACAACAATCCTCTAATGATTAGGGAAGACATGCAGAGGGAAGGGGAAAATGGGTGGACAACATGGGGGAAGGGGGAGTAGAGCTTTGTTTTATCTGTTCTGCTGGTCTAGGGAGTTAACCAAGCTTACCAAGCTGATACCATGAACCTCACTGCCTGGGGGACAGAGCTGATCACTAAGAAGAGGCCCTGGAGAAGGGCACTACTAAGGACCAGATTCTCTAAGATCCACGCAGCAAATGCTGCTACTGTTGCTATGACTGTAGCTCCCTTCAATAGAAATGTGAGATTTTACTATGAGTTATTTAGGAGACTTTAATACAGATTAGTAACCCAGTATTACATTTTCACTTCTTTCATTGGGACTTCCTCTCTTTCAAGAGTTAGACTACTTTATTAGAGAGAAGTTATTTCCATGTCTATTTCTGTATATAGTCATCTTTGTTCATTAGAAGGATATTTTAAGTATTTTAAATCTAAATCTCTCATATGACTCACAATGCCCAGACATGGTACTACATCACTCCACTTTCATCCATGAAAACCAAGGGACTGAATACATCCTTTTCAGCTATAACAGACCACACCTCACTTTTCCTTTTCTTTCCTTTCTTCATTACTTGCCTCACACACTCCTTTCTCCTCTTCTCCTATACTTGTATGACTTAGACCAGTAGTTCTCACATTAGAATTACCTAGGATGCTTTAAAATAAATCCTAAGGATGTAGTCATGTAGTAAACACCCATTCCCCCCAGTATCCCTGTTCACTTACCTTAATGGCTTCAGTGACCCCGACACAGTAGTTAAGGATAGGGGGAAGCACTGAACTAAGGGTCATAAATTTTACTACATTCCAACCCTGAGGCAATCAATTCAGCTCTTTACAAGTACCCTCACCTGTAAAAAGGTTAGTAACAACTACTTCAGGACTGTTGTAAGAATTTTAAAAAATCGCACACTTAAAGTTTTTAGTAGAGGTAAAAAGTGCTGAACCAATGGAAGGGTGGTAGCATTACGGACATTCCCAAAATGTTTCATATTCATACTCTTTCTGACATTCCCAGTACTTGGAGTGAACTTAAATAGGGACATACAGAGAAATTCCACAATTCCTTTAAGGCAGAAGCACCTTTCATTCATCCTCCCTGGGTATTTCCACACTCCGCACCTAGACGTCCCCCGTGCCTTTTCTTCCTATTGTGCACTGCATCACCCGCAGGCCACGCTTTGAAGCCAAGGCGGGCCTTATTCACCTCTACCTTTCCACTTGGAAAGGGTACAATAAATGTTGCAAAACAAATAATGCCTTGGTGGACATTTATGTGTAGTTACCATTCTGCACACTTCTGTCAAATTCTTACTGAATTTATGCTAAAGAGGAAAACTAAAATTTTTCAACACTAGAAAAGGACGGAAATCCTACATATATGCAAAAAGGGTTTGTTTCTATAATCTTTCAGGTAAGTTTGAAGCTGTGGCAACAGATGGCAGGATTATAAGCGAACATGACTGAGAGCCCTAAAACTCCAGAACTGGACCTTCTCCACGTGGGGCAGCGATGGCGCGGGCAGAAGGCGGCCGGGAGTCCCCACTCACCTGTATAAGTCGTAGCCCGCAGCCCGCGCGGACCCCTTGGTCGGGGCGGTGGCGTGCTCTGAGAGCCGGACGAAGCGAAGCCGCATGCTGTCCTCCGCAGGCCGGGGCCGCTTGCTGGGGGAGGTGGCGGGTGTCGCTTCAGAGCAGGGCATGGCAGAACAGAACGCGAGAGAGGACAGCAGCAGAAGGGATAGATGGATACAAAATTAGCTTGCCCGCCAGAACTTAAATCTCCCGCCAGCACCTTCCCGCCCTGCCCACCCCTGGACGAGCCCACAATCCTGGCTGAGAGGGGACGCCTGATTCAATTTGGGGTTGCAAACCCCTCTGGGAAAGCGGATTTGGGATAGGAAACTACTGCGCCTTCTCACGCTTTTCCAGCTCAGGGTACAGAGCCAACCCGTGCTTGAACAGCTAGGGAGGCCTCCCGCTCACACCACAAAAAGCAACCACTTCCCCCATCAGGAGGGCCTAATGGACTCGCGCGCGCGCGACGAGGGGCTGCGCTTCCTTCCAGGGCCCAACCAGGAGGGCTTCCTCAACCCGGAGGGCTTCCTCGTCCTCGCGTCCCGCCTCCTCCTCCCCCTCCACTCCCGGAGGCCGCGGGGAGGGCCGGCCAGGCGCAGAGCCTCCCCACGCGCCCGTTGAGGCGCGTCCTTGCAGCCGGGGCCCCGACATTACTGGCGCCGCGGCAGCCCCGGCTCCGGCTGCGAGTGCTGGACAGCGTCCGGAAGGGAGGCCCCGCGGCTTCGGCTCTCGGCCCGGCGCTGCGCGCGTCTTTGAACACTGAGCGGAGCACGGACGTAAAGAAATGGTGGCGGAGCGCGGGGTGAGGGCAGAAGGGAGTCATTCCCCCCAGGCTGGGGCGCTGGTTGGTCTTCCGCTCCCTCAGGCGCGCGCTGGATCTGCGCCCTATAGACGCGTCCGGGTTCGTTTGACCTCGGAAGCAGTAACCGCCGCCTTCTGACGAGGAGCGCACAGAGGTGGCACATCCGCCTCCCTCCGGCCGGCGCAGGCCCTGGGCCCCCAGGCACGGCGTCTCTGCCTCCCTCCTTCGGCCCGCATCTTTTTTGTGGCCCGTTTTCCAAGAACTTCCTCGAGGCTCAGAGCCTGGCCTCTGCGCACTGCTGAGTTACCTGGGGCCGCCCCCGTCGCGGCCATGGCTCCTCCCGTTCTAATCTCAGGGAACCGCAAAGCAACGGAACCGCATCACGATGCCCGTGACAGTCGCTGGGCTCAGTGATGCGTCCTAGGCTGCGAGCAAGGCAGCGTGTCCCTTTCCGAACAGCACCCGCAGTGCACGGCGTGTCGTTTACCCGTAAAAGAAGGCGGGGACATGGTCTGAGGATGATCTCAGCGACAACTGCTAGCGCTGTTTCATAGGACTCACAGAAGCACGGCGGGGCGGGGGTTGGGGGGTCTCGTGTAAGGGGGCAGTGGCTAGGATTCGAGCGAGATCCTGGGCTACCCTGGAGTAACAGCAGGGATGAGTAAATAACTGCATAGGTAATGGTAAACTGGGTTTTCTAGGTTATAAATATGTCCAGTTATTTCCAGAACCGAGGCAAAAAAGCTAAAAACCAAAATATAATACAGCTTGTCAAAAACGAACTATAGGACAGTTTTAGAAAAATGGCAACATTAGGGCATTGTTGAGGAATTTTCCAGCCTTTCCTGCTGTGCCTTATGCGCCCCACCTCTGCAGGTTCCTATTGGCTCCTTTTAAATGTTGGGATTCCTGTGGATAAATTTATGGATTATACTCTGTATTTATACTCTTCTCCCATCCTTTAAACATCTGTCACCTGATGGGGCGCCTGGGTGACTCCTGTGGTTAAGCATCTGACTTGATTTCTGCTGGTGCCTTGATCTCAGGGTCTTCAGTTCTGCCCTGCCTTACTAAAAAACAAGACAAAACGAACAAAAAATAACTACCACCTGAGGACTCCGCTTGCTCGCCTACAGCAACATGATCTGGGCCCCGCTAGTTCTCCAAACTCGTCAGAGCCATCATCCTGCTCACCTCTGGCGCTTCTGTCTACAGTAGCTCTCTAACAAGTTTCTGGACGCACTGGACTTCCCTGCCTGGGAGTCTACACACATCCTTCCTTGGTTTGCTCTTGTGTTTCGGCTCATCTCAGAAAGACTAATGCACTTCATTTTGTCAGGGAAGGGCCTCACCACCGTGTTCCATCACAATAATCTTTTCTAATCACACCATGTATTACTACAATCTGTACTTCTTTCATTGTTTATTTATTTTTCTCATTGTCTATTTGCTCTAAGAAACATGAGCTCCAGGGGGCAGGGACCATGTATGTCTTCACTCACTACTATATTCCTGGGGCCTCGCTTACTGCCTGGCTCAGAAGACTGCTTGATAAATGTTTGTCCTATGAATGAGATTCATCAGGCCCCTGTATAGGATCCCTTCTCAAAGTCTTGATTTTCCTGTCCACTCCTTACATTTTTTTCCTTTTCCTTTTTCTTTTTTTTAAATAGAGAGTTGGAGAAGGGACAGAGGAAGAGAGAGAATCTTAAGCAGGCTGCACAGCCAGCTTGGAGCCCAACACAGGGATCAGATCTGGCAACCCTGAGATCATGACCTGAGCCAACATCAAGGGTCCGTTGCTTAATCACCTGAACCACCCAGGTGTCCCATGTCCACCCCTTTATCAATGCATTTTGTTATTCTATATATGCCTTTCCAAGGCCTGCAATGAAAAACTGGTCTACCCCTCCACCGAAACCCTCCCCGACATTTCACTCCTCAGGGGAAAATGCTTCCAACTTTTTCTGGCTCTTTCTACTGGAGTGTGCCTCCCTATTACTTAAATTACATGTTTGGGGTTTTTTTTTAAGATATTTATTTATTTATTTATTTGACAGAGAGAGAGAGAGAGAGAGAGATCACAAGTAGGCAGAGAGGCAGGCAGAGGGAGGGGGAAGCAGGCTCCCCACCAAGCAGAAAGCCCCATGTGAGGCTTGATCCAAGGACCCTGAGACCTTGACCTGAGCCGAAGGCAGAGGCTCAACCCTCTGAGCCACCCAGGCGCCCTGCTATTTTTTTTAATGGCGTAGAAATTATCTTCAGAATTAGGGTAGTTGAGTAAGTCTCTTACTGCTCTTTCCACCCCATTCTGCAAAGAGTTTTGTAATAATTTTTGGTTAAGTGAGCAGTACTTAAATCATGACTAAATATTATTCACTGTTGAGTAACATGATATTTTTTGACACCTGTCCTCAAGTTAATAAAGGATGTTGTTCTTCCATTTGTCTTTGTTGGTAGTGGTGTTTTTGATTCACCTATTGTTGTTTTTTTTTTCCCCCAAGTGCTCCAGAGAATCCAGTACCTCACATCTGTCACATCAAATGAAACACTCAAACACATCAAATCCCTTATCAATTCCATTTACTCTCTCCCTCACTCCTCTGTTTTCTTGCTCCAATCTCTGCACGTGACCCTCTAGTCCTGCTGAACAGCTATCATCCTGGCACTTCCCTTGGCCTTTGTCTTATAGTGGAGCCTTGGTTTTATGGATCTAGTATCTTCTAGTTTATTCCTTCATTTTGCTGGAGCACTTTCTCTAGTAATTACCTAAGGAAGTTCACATTAGAGATAAATTGAGTCCTAAAATATAATAATTGTAATGACTCCCTTCACCCAAACCCAAATAAAAATCTCACCTCATTCATGAAACTTTTTCACAACCAGTAGTGAGCTCTGCCTTGTCCTATCTCGTACAATCCTTATTGTATCATTCATTAGCCATGTACTCCCACTGTGTAATTGCCTCCTTGTATGCATTTTATCTTTCACATCAGAGCCAGAAACTTGTATGAATCCTTCAAAGCACCTACTTCAGTGTTTCATACAAAAGTTATTTATAGATTGTTATTTATATATTTATAACAATTTTATAACAATATAAATTGTTATTTATAGTTATTTATAGAGTTTATTATAGATTGTAAGGAGAAAAGCATATAAGCCAACTGCAAAAGAGTAATAGGTTAGTGCTCTGAACCAGAAAGCACTGGACATTCCTTATGTGCAGGAATGCCCCGTGATCCCTGTACTGGTGGATGGAAGATTATGCAAATTTGCTGTGAAAGAGAGAAGACAAGCGGGGGGGCAACAACTCAGTGATGAAGACTCTGTTCTTTTTTCCTCCCACTTTTGGTCCTTCAGGATAATTACAAATCCTTATCACTATTTCTCAAGCACGTGAGGTGTGACAAGGGGTCTTACAGAAGCTAGAAGGATGTTTATGGGAAAGATACGATATGCTAATCTCCATGTTCTAGGAGTTCTGCTAAACATAGCCTAAGGGACAATGCATACATCTCTTAGATCAGGCGTAGGCTGTTTGGGCTAAGAAAGCTTCCCAGAAGGTTAACTCCCAGAGGCACTCCAAGGACAGAGTGCTCACACAGACCCCGGCGTTCCAAAGACCTACGCCCTTCTCCCAAACCTTCCTTCACTCCCAGCGGCCTCTGTGTTACATTCTAGCAAGCCACGTATTATGGCTGATTTCATGCTCTACATTAACCCCAACACTTATGATGACTGAAATATAACTTGATATGAAAACACATCCTAAATTCAGTACTCTACAGCAAAGAACTAGACATAGTTTATTTCCTGCTGTTTTTTTTATCAGAATATAATTATCCCATCAGTCATGCTGATTAATTCAATTACATAAGTCTAGGGCCAACTTGAACCTGTTGAGAATGCAAGTCAGTACTTTACAAGCCAAGCTGTCCTTCCTATCTGTACCATTATAGGGAGAATTCTCTTTTTTAACAAAGAGTTAATATGATGGTTACTTTATGTAAAGTATATTTTAAGTGCCTTATGAATATTAACTCATTTAATCATGACAACCAGAAGAAGCAAGTGCTGTTATTATCCCCATATTACAGGTGGGGAAACCAAATCACAGGTTAAATTATTTGCCCACGATCATACAGCTGACTACTAGAAAGAGACGGAGCCAAGATTCGACTTGAGGTAGTCCAGCTTCAGAGTCCTTAAACTTAGCCGCTGTGCTCTGTAGGTTTAACTGCGCCTACCCAGTCTGTGATTAACTCTTCTGGATGCGGAGCCTGCTACGTGCTGTGTTCGCCAGTTCTGGCGGTTAGATGTGGGTAGGAAATAAACCAGGCACTCCTAGCTTCACAGTTGATCATGCCCTCCTTGTTGAGACACTTCCTCACCAGGCCATACTCTGGTTTTCCTCTTACTTCACTGGCTGCCTCGCCTCTTCTCAACCGCTCTTCTTCCCCAAGATAATAACCCTAGGAGGGGCACCTGTGTGCCTCAGTCAGTTAAGCATCTGCCTTGGACTCTGGTCATGAACACGGAGTCCCGAGACCCAACCTGGAACCGGGGGTTTCCTGCTCAGCAACGAGTCTGCTTCCCTCTGCAGCTCCCCCTCCTTTGCCCCGCCCTCTACCCCTCCCTCTGCTCGTGCTTTCCGCCACTTTCTCTCTTTCTCAAATCTTTAGTCATGCTTCCTCTTTCTCTGTCAGACGTTCCCTTATCTAAAAATAGTTTCTTCATAGGTACCACGTGCTGCTTTGCCCTGTTTGGGTTTTCTTCACAGCCTGTAGTGTTACATGCTATTACCTATTTATTCATTTCACTCGTCAGTTGTATGTTTTCTCCTCTAGCATGTAAGCTCCATGGTGGACCTGAATCTTTTTTTTTTTTTTTAAGATTTTATTTATTTACTTGTCAGAGAGAGAGAGAGAGCGCACAGGCAGGCAGAGTGGCAGCAGAGGGAGAAGCAGGCTCCCTGCGGGGCAAGGAGCCTGACTTGGGACTGGGTCCCCAGACGCTGGGATCATGACCTGAACCGAAGGCAGCTGCTCAACCAACTGAGCCATCCAGGCATCCCCTCGATCTATCTT